TTTGAAAAAAAAACGCCTGAGAGACACAAACATCACTACCGAAAACCAGTTTGGAAATCAGCTCAGTACCAAAACCCTGCCAAGATCTGAAGGCTAAGCATGGAAAAGCCAAGTGTTTAGCCCTGCTAACGTGGTTTTAGAGGATTACCTAGAAGCAGGAAAAGGCAGGAGATGGCTGAACATTGACTCAGCTCAATCTCTAAACATCTTTCTAGTCACAGCATCTGAACCACACGTTCAATCACAGGCTAGTCTAAAGAAGAAGCCAGCACACAGTGAAATACCAAGCAGAAAATGAGCGCACACAGTTCTCAAGAACTTCAGCAGGACCTGGGCCTTGGTTTGCTTGTCCTGGTCTGTTCCAGTGCCCAGCATCTTCCCTTTGCACTTACAGCTCCTCCAGGCAAACAAAGGTTGAAGGCAGAGGTCTGCTGAAAGATCGGGCCCTGAGCTTACCAAGGCACCGGTTTTCACTTTTTTGGATGTGTTTTGAAAGGGAAAAAAAAAATCCCAGGTGTTATCTTTGCCCTGTGATGTCTGCAGCAGCCACAACCACCCAGCTATTGGCCTCAGCCTCCAGACACAGCCTTCCTCCTCCTCCTCCTCCTCCTCCCAGAGGCTGCCAGCCCATGGCTCACCCTGCTGCTCTTCCTCAGATAAGGGCTGCAGGGTGATGAATGGCTTCCTGGTCCCCCCAGCCAAAGGACTAAAAGTCAAAGAGCTCATGATCATTTTTAGCAAGGAGGGAGACAGATGTCACACAGTTCAATGGCACAAAAGATGACAAAACTACCAACCTGCCAAAAATTAAGACATGCTTTAGGTGGGAAGGTGCCTTCTTTCCCTGCAAACTCACAGCCCCTCTCTGTCCCCCCCTCACTTCTGAGCAGCCATCTGGATGCACACCATGATTCCCTTCCTGGCTTGCACATAATCATCCCAAACTTGCTGACGATTCTGCGCAGGCAGCTCGATGCAGCTCACAATCAAAAGGAACTGAACTGCCCTCTCCTGGGAGCAGTGCAATCAGCAGGGCAGCCTCTTACAGGCAAATGCACTCTTAGCAGGTGGGAAAAGCTGTTGAGATGGGAGAAGGCAGCTGGCAGCCTCCCCCCGATGGACTTTTCAATTGGCAGTTACACTGAAGTTGGGCTTTGTGGGTTTGGGTTCAACCCAAGCAGCATTTCTTCTCCAGCCTTCAGAAACAAGTCTTTCTGCATCCATTTCTTCGCAGGTTTGCAGAGGCGGGTACCTACAGCTATTGCTAGATTAAATCAATAGGTCAAAGCTAAGCAGACGCTGTGTCAGAACATGAGCTTTCAGAGTTTAGCAGGACTGACACCACGCAGTCTGAACAGGTAACTGTGCGGAGCAAAGCTCACCGGCACTTAGGATTTTCTTTCCCCAATCTCCTGTTAACTTCCTAAAATGAAAAAGGGTCTCAGGGTTACGAGTAATGAGTAAATCAGCCTTGAATTTGACAAAACAAAAAGGGCTTTCATTGTTCCATGCTCTTTGTGGCCCGGACTTAAAGCAGAGGACCTCTAGCTGTGAGAATGCCAGCCTGCCCTCTCAGCCACTGCTCTCTGTCTGAAAAGCTCTATCAGTGGGAGGAAGTGAGGAGCTGGCTTACAAAGGCTGCAGGCTACCTATATATCAGTTTATGTGCACACTTTTTACATATCACAGTTTTAATATAGTCTTAGCAATAAGAAGCCAGAATTGCCTGGATAGTCTCTTCACTACATTACCGACAGAAATCACTAGGTGGGTGATTTCTGCAATTTAGAGAGTTGGGGAACTGGTGCTCATTATGCTAATCAGGAGAAGTTTGGGGAAAATACCTGAAGAAAAACCCACCAGGAATAAAATCTACATATGCTTTTAAGACAAAAAGCATTTAAACTGCCTACCTTCACCTCTCAATGTTCTGATTTCTTCCCTTTTTTTTTTTTTTCCTTAAGTAAAGTTACATCTCGCCAATAACTTGCTCTCCCTCTGCAGGCACTTAGGATAAGGATGATCAGGTGAGCCACTTAGCAAATGTTCTTGCATCCATATGGCACACACAGAAAATCCATTAGAATTAATATTTCTTTACGTGGTTATTTATTTGAGTAAGCCCTCCCTTCAAAGTGCTGCTGCTGTTCTCTTAACATAATAATCCTGATAAATTACTCTTCTCTTCAATGCTCCATAAGCAAAGAACATAAAGACTCAGCACTGCTACATTAGGACCCATTACTCTGCTCATTGCAAAGAAAACACCATATTTTTAAACATATTTCCTCCAGCAACAGATGCCTCCCTACATTTTAGAAGATTTTAGAAGGAAAAAGAAACAAAAAACGAGTCAGCTCCCACCTGTGATTATAAAAATGCATTTGTTTCTGATAACTTACAGCTCCCACGTGAATTTGGGTGATTCTGCCACCCATTTGCCAACCTGGGCTGCAGTCTGCCAGGCTCATGGTGCCCACACGTTGAACACCCTGAGCTCAGCTGCTCGCTTCCATTCCTGCTGGAGTTGTGTTGCTGAGATGTGCTGAGCATCTCACCTCCATTTGGGTCCAGCTGAACTCATGTCTCTGAAGGACAACTGGCTGTTTTATGGCAGTTTGCTCATTAAACAAAATTGTTAGGCACGTGGGCTGGTTTGAATGAATTCAAGCATGCTCTACTGTTAATCTTTACAGCGTCCTTTTTAGAACATCTCAGGGAGCCCTGTGAACACCACACTGGGGGCCTGACCTCCTCCGCAGGCCCAGTGGCTGGGTATTGGCCATGCTCACAAGACCAAGGGCTGTTGTCATTTCTGTCCCCTTCTTTTCCTTCTTCCTTATGTCCTTGCTCAGGCTGGCCTCCCCTGCCCAGTCAGTGCAGCCCCCCCTACAGCCTCCCTCCCACAGAGGGCAGGGAAAGTTGTACAGGCAATGAGCAGAGAGGGAACAGCAGAGGAACCGAAGGCCACAAAATCTTAGAGAACAGAAGATCTTATCCTGCCTGAGAGCTGTGGGTGGGACGAGGGGCTGCTTATGGGGAAAGAGTGGAAAGGCGAATTGGAACGGAGCAGTTCCTGCCCATGGACTTCAGGGTGGTAGATAAGCCAGGCTGGAAAGGGATGTCCCTCCCAGCCTTGCCACAGAAGCCAGATGCTGCCATCTGTCCCACTCCAATTCTTCCTTGCTCAAACAGTTTATGGCTCAGTTGGCGAGGAAGGTAAGAAATCAAATCCACGACTGCCCCACAGCCAGGGAGGCAAGGAAGCAGAAGGCTAACTTAGCTAAATGACATAACTGCTGAGTGATGACTTTTCTCCACCCTTCCTCCTCAGTGCCTGAAGCTGAACAACTAGATGGAAAATGAGCCCTCCTCCCCACCATGGTTACACCAGTGGCACTGCTGTCCCTTTGGTGTGAGCAGGTCCAGAGCCACTCTCCTGCAGTGCCTCCCCTCCAGCCCTCCTGCTCTGCTCTGGAGGGAGGTGGCTTCCAAACAGGCACACGGCTTCCAAACAGGCACACGGGCATCTCTGTGCCCCATGCTGTGTGCAGGCTGCTCTGTGTAACGTGTTAAACCATCACTTCCTTCCTCCTGTGCATCACTGCTGTTGCTACCTTGGGTCTGGCAGACTGGTGCTGGCTGTGGAACACACTCAGGTCCTGCCTGGCACATCCAATCCTCCCTTGTGACTGCTGGGGCAGGCACGTTGAGGCCAGGTTTGCACCATTTCCATTGGCACTACTTTGCCTGCTGCCAAAATAAAGGATCTACTTTATCAAACCTACCTTACGTTCAGCAGACACTATCCCCTCTCAGCTCAGTGTTAAGATGGACCCATCATTAAGCACTCAGGAGAGCACTCTACAACAAACACCAGCTCTGCTCTAGAAGACCCAACTGCTGCCCCAGCCTGCCCAGACTGCCATGCTCTTTGCTTCCACACCACATACAACCTACCAGAGGCAACTTCTTCCACCTGGGCGACCATCAGGCTGAATTTGGTTCTCCTGAGCTTATGAGTACATTCTTTCTGAAGCAGAAGTTAATATAGAAGGTAAAGGCCACATGATAACAAAGCAGCATCCCCCCTAAATTTAGTTATAAGTCCTGCAGTTCATAAGTTAGGAGAGAGAGAAAAGAAGGGATCCACTTCTGAGTGATAAGGAAGGAATGACAGTAAATGTTTGGCACTGCTGAAATTAGTTTTATTTTGGAGCCATTCAAAATTTAGACTGTGGGTGAATTCCTTATGGAAACAAGTAAAGAATTTGCTGGCAAAATGAGGAATAATCTTCTACCCCAACAAATGAAACAGGGCTTAATTTGATTTAATTTCCCCAGTGGTGCAATGAACAACATTCTTTCCAGATAAGTGTTTCCACTGGCAGAGCTTGTGCTTTTGCTGTGCTTGACATCCCCGTGTTGCAGACATTTTGCATAAGGCATTATGAGAAGAGCCTGGGGGAATCGAAGGCAGTGCTGTGCTCTTCCCTGTGGTACTTCCCTCACCTGCCCATCTGTATGCTGCTGTCCACACCATGCTCACCTGTGCAGCACCGAACATTGGAGCTCATGAAGCTCAGAAATGGGTCTGGTGTGTTTCCTTTTGGGTGGTCCTGAGCTCAGACACACCAGTGCAGTAATTCACAGCTGGCAGGTGTAGGGTTCATGATACAGGAACCAGACATTGCTAATAAGCAAGCACACTTTACTGCTAAGCACTGGCAGCCGCACATAATAAACATAACGACATGTCCTGTTCCATCTGCACTTTAAGCCATGTAGAATGAAAGCTTCAGCATCCTTTGGAAAGTCCTCCGGCACAAAGAAATGAGCCAACCTAAGGCTGCTCTGTTCAACAGTGATGAAGTAATGAAAACCAGCATTTTCCTTTCTGCTGTCATTCTGTAGCCTATTTTTCACTTTCAACCTTAAAAGGATGTGAATTATATGGGGGGGAGGGGGGGGAAAGAAATAAAGAAAAAAGGAAAAAACCTAGAGATGACAGTCTGGTCTCCACAGAACACCTCGATACCAGTTAAATGTTCCTCTTACAGAAATGAACGTTAGCACCCTCAGATGGCATATTTCATTCTATGAATTGCTCAATTACTTCAGAAAGATGCAGTGGTATTGATGAACACTGGTGTAAACTCATTGATCTGTTCCCAGACTTACCAGTATGCACAAAGGATGGAAACACTCACGGCACTGAGTGCCTACAGCGTGCCTTATTGATTCTCTGAAACGCCAAAATCTGCAATTCTTTCCACACACGCTGCATTGCAAAGCTCCAGTTTATAAAGAATTCCCAATCCAATTTTTGCTTTTTACAGAAATATTTTGTATGAAGACTGAAATCAGCTCTAAATAATACATGTGGATTTTTGCTCGTGCTTACGGTGTATTTTTACTCAGATGGAACACAACACAAGAGTTTGCAGCAATGTTCCTAGCTTAGATGAGCGTAAGTTTAATAAACATTCCTGTCTGAAGAATGCTGGGTCAATGTGTCTGCCCAGGGCTCCTGAGCTCTCCTCCCTCTGCACAGCCTGTGCAGAAGAAGTGAGCCTGGTCTGATCTGCAGCACACAGTCACTGCACACACACAGTTTCCTGAATGCACATAAAAGTCGCTTTTCTTGCAAAAAACTGGGACAGCAGTAGCCAGAAAAACACTGATGTGCCACAAAAAAAAGCTTATGACTGACTTTAAGGCTGCTTTAAGCTACTTTAGGACCACACGAAGTTCAATGCAACTAATGTGTAAATAATATCAGTGGGATTTCAAGGTTTGGCTCTTCTCAAGGAAGCAGCTGACAGTCAGAATGACTTTGTTCTCTGGCACATGCCTGTTCTCTTCACCCTCAAATGAAGTTCTCACTGATACTGTCTCAAATTCCAAGTATGAATTTTTTGCCAGTGCAATTCTACTGCTTTCCTCAGTGCTGGCTGCACTACCTGCAAGGCTGCTCAGAGCTAAGAAATAACTTTTTCTTAAGACCTCGACTTGTTTAGCTATTGTGAAGCAGAAGTCCTCTTCCGCCTGCACTGAGCGTGCAGCAGTCATGTTGCTCATACAGTTGTGAGCAAGAGCTGCTCAGGCACTTCTCTGAAAAACCACACGGAGCAGATCTGAGTAAGTGCATGCCATCATTGGCACCTGAACAGCTCAAGATTTGCTCCATACTCTTTCTTTTTTTTTTAAATCAAGTTAACGGGTATCACAGCCTGCACAGTACCCCCAGAGCCAAAAGATGCCCAAAGGACCGCTCTTCTTTCATTACACCTGCAACAGACAGCAAGACAGGAAGCAATCACAGCCTCCTAATGGTTTTATTCCAGTGTTTCCATAGGCTTTTATCAAAACAAAGAGCACTCTGCAACACAGTACATGCTGCTCTCTGCAGGGTAAAGGCTGTGCTTTTTCCTGTCTTCTCTCAAGGTGGAGACTGATCCCAAACTGGATGTTTTTTGCATAGCTGGGGACAGTCTGCTTCTGTTCTCCAATCTCCTGCAGAGCTCAGAACTTGTGTGTGTTGTCTTGCACCTCCTCCTTCCAAGCTCAGCGTGGCCTCTGGGGCTGCACAACCATCCAGCAGGCAGCAGAGGGGCTCACAGCTCTCTGCAAGGAGAAAGAGAGCATCAGCTCTACATGGATAACGAAACAATCTCTGTGTCTTGGGGTTCTGAAGAGGAGCAGGAAAGAGGGCTGGAGGGAAGGAAAGCACCCAAAGTCCTAAAGAGCATTTGCCTCTTGTCTGCTTTTTTCCAGTTACAAGAAAAGCCAACACTCATCACATACCTCTGAATACCAAAAAGAGGAAACAGGTTAATGTGCAACTCTGTTATTCATAAGCCATGGGCTGGCCTTCTCTCCTAGAGTTTCATTAAGCAAATGGTATATTGTTAAAAGATTTTGGTTCAGAGTTCAGAAAGTTAATAAACGGACTCTGTACAAAGCTGCAGGTCTCAGCACTGGGCAGGTTGCATCGGGTACACAGACATGAAAATACTAATTAGATAACAGAACCACAATGTAAAACAAATGATGCCAGGATTAAAATAATGTAGAGGACGTTGGAGGTTTTACTCTGTAGGGAGAACACAGAGGCATACACAATTCTGGAGAGAAGTGAAGAACACCAAATCTAATTGAAACTACAGGGTGCAAGAGGGAAGGGGCACAGAAGACAGACAGTAATTACAGCAGCTGGAAAGCAGCCAGGACACTGAGGTTAGAGCAGCACTCTGTCAGAAGCCATTGTGAGATCTTCTGTGATTACAAACCACCAAGAACCTAGCGTTAATTCTCCTCTGAGCTCCATTTGGCAGCAGGACATCTGTTGGCAGTCTGAGGCCCTGCTTCCATTTGGGCTGGAAGACAGAAGACACCAGTCTCTTTCCATCCCTGTCCTTTACTGCCAGCTTTGGTGGTTTCTCACACAAATGCTCGCAGCACCCAGGGAGCCCCTGGTGACATGTCACATCCCTGGAGCTGCACAGCTCTTGGCAGCTGTCTCCTTTAGCAGGGCTTCCTGCAGCTGCCAAAGCAATGATGAGCACCACCCTGTGCAGCCTTCTCTAAATGGGGCCCAGCCATCAGCTCCTCTGGGGACCAACAGCAGCCCACCGGCAGCAAACAAGCCATCACAGATTCCCTGCTCCAATCTTAAAAAGCCCCCAGCCCCATTTCATCAGACCTATAGCAGCTGAAGAGACCTTTTCAGTTGTAGACAACGTGGATTGTGCTGCTCCCAGGATACGGCAGTTGCTTCTGGTTTTTATGCTCTTATTTACACATTAGTCCCCCAGGTTTGATTTGGAAAGGACATGGCTCTCAGTTGCACTTCGTTGCACATAGGGAGGGTAACCCAGAGCCGCTCATTACTGCCAGAACTGCAAGAGACTATCACACCAATTACAACAAATTGCCAATAGCACAATCTGCTGCTTACAGTACGTGTTATATCCAGATACAACAGAAAAGCAAGGTAACGGTTTAAGCATACTGAATGTGTCATAAACATCTAAACTGCTGTTAGTATTTTTCTAAAGGATCAGAAAGATGTGAATAACATAAACCCACTTAATTGGGAACAACTGTGGACATTTGTGCTAACATCAGAACCCCAGAAAGCCCCAGGACCAAGGGCTGCAGCAGTGGGAAAACATTTTGCCCAGCACAGATCCTTGCCATTAAGCACCACATGCACAGAAGAGGCATTTCCTGACAATCAGAAGAGCCGCAGATTTGGATTTCCAAACATCCCCACTGCTTGAGGCCCATCTCAGCACTTAGCTGACTTGTGTTTCCTCTAAGACCAAACCATGCCTTCTGTCAGTGTTTTTACGATGTCAGCACAATGCTCTCATTAAGCGCTTGCTGGAGTTGTGCAAGTTTTTGTGTGCTCCTTCATTAATTTCTTATCTACCTGTTTGTTTCCCTTTCTGCTTCAGCAGCAAGTCTCTTCCTCATCTCACAAGATCAGATCCATTTTAGAACAAGCATTAAAAAAAAAAAAAAGCATTCTTTTATAAAGGAACCCTGTTCTAAAATTGCAACTGCCCAGCAGCTACTTCTGTATACTTCTCTCCAAACGTCAGCCCTGTGCATCACATATAAGAAACATTTTATAGGTGGTGACATTACAGAAATGTAAAATTGCCATGGAGAAGGATCCTTGGGCACCCCACAAAGCCCAGTGGTCAGAAGCATAGCACAACATACTTATACACAGGATGGGTTGGGAGAGTTCTGGCATCTCAGTACTTGAAGTCCAGCCAAATGTCCCAGCAAGATTCCGAACGAAGGGTCCAAACTGCACCACAGGGAATGTGCATTTTGTAGAGCTCTGTACCCCAGGTGCAGGCTTTGTGATGCTTTACTTGGGAAATCCCATTCCAGGCTGCTGGATGGGTGGAGCAGCAGGAGCAGCGCAAGTGAGCATTTCACAGTCTGGCACAAGATTTGTTCTGAAAGAAGGGGCAAGATTTGTTCTTCTGCACTTCAGAAGACATTTGCCCTTGAAAGTGCTGTTGAGGGAATGCCAGTATTCATGATACTCCAAATTCTGGGACATTTTTGACCCAAATACTGTTAAGGAGAATAAAGAAATTGAAAGGTGATCACATTCTCTTGTAAGTATATACATTTCTATTTAATCTTTTCTCTGCAAATTCTTGCTCTCAGGGTTTTATGTTTTGGTCATTTTAAAAACTGCATCAGGCACCAATCTGCTAGACAAACAGCAAATCTCCAGGCACTTATTATTCAGCAATGGACTTAAAACTAAGAACAATTTTTAGTTACCTCCAAGCAAAACAAAAACACATTTCCTAAAGTCTCCAACTTACAAAACCAACCAAAAAGATGCATTTGTCTTCCTTAGAAGCAGCAGAGAGGAAGTGTACAATTTGCACTGCGAAGGAGATAGATAAATCAACAGACAGAGGCTGACTTCTGGCTGCACATCTCCTCAACTGCAGCACATTTTCACTATTCCAAGCCCAGAAGCAAGGCTGCAGCACCCACAGAGGATGCACATGGCTTCTGAAAACTCCAGAAGAGCAAGTCTGTCTTAAGGGACAGCTTCCCTCCATGTGCTCATTAGTCTGGCTTTGTTTTTTCTCCCAAGGATGGAAAGAGAAACAAGGGTATCAGTACACATTTGAGCAGCAGGAAGATGAAAAGCTAATGGGAGAAAAGGAAACATTCAGCTCTTATTTAGACATTGTTGCTCAACAAGATGCTGTTGCCATTCCTTCATCCCAGAAATGGATGCAGCTTTTTGTGCCTCCACAACCTTACACTTTACTTCTGGGTTTCTTTTCAGGCTTGCTCTGTATTTCTCTCAAGGTGAAACTGCTCCACAGGAGAGCTTCCTTCCAACAGAGATGCTCTGGGAGCAGAACCTCTTATCTCAGCAGTGTTAGGATGTAGCCCTGGTGGAAGGCATTCTTGTGGAAGAAGCCCTCAGCAGACCATCCATCTAAGCCTCACTTGGCTCTGACTCTGTGAGCAGACAAACCTCAGTGGCAGCTCTGCCAGGCAAACAGATTGGCTTGAGAGAAGGCAGACAGGTGACCCAGATACAAGGAACATAAACCACAGCTTTGCTTTTTACGGTACCCAGCCAGAAATGCTGTCCTCACTGTCTGGTCTACAGGAAGCAATATGCCTTTTGCTGTGCCAACACAGTGACATTTCATTCAGAAGTGCATCAGAATGGCATCTGCTGCTGCAACGGCTACGCTTCCGCCTTGGCAAAACTAGGCCTAGATTTCAGCTAAGTGTCTAGACTGGTTTTAAGTCTTCATTCTCTTCACAGGGATGCAAAGGGTCTAAGACTCATTTTGGAGACAGATAAACTGCATTTCGGATTTCTATATAAGCCACAGGCACCAAGGTGCTGCTGCCTTGCTTGACTTCAGAGAATAAACTCAACTGAGTTTGTGAGAGGAGCACCAAAGTGAGTGGAAAGGAGGAGGAATGTCAAAAGTAAGAATCTGTAGGTTTTCTAGGGAACCATAAAAAGTGGGAAAGCTCTAGATGGAAGAATGTACCTCTTTGTCTCCAGAATCTGTTGTCACATTTACTTTTCCAATGCACACTCAGGAGGCAGGAAAATCCAAAAATAGCAACCTCCTGTGCCAAGACCTGGGGGGGGGAGGAAATGGGAGAAAAAGGCATCCAGAGACATCTAGGAGTGTTACCAGGTACAGAGCAGGAACCTGGTGCTGCATCCTTGTGATGAGGTGCAAGTCGTGGGGCTGGAGGAGTATACAGTACTTTCCTGGAAAAGGTTTTATCCTGCTATGTAAGTTCGCTGTTTTGAGAAGAAAATCTGAATCACCTTGAAATCAAGAAGAGACTAAGGAAAGAAAAGGCATGCAGGCACCAAGCATGCAGATGCTTTTAGCACTTTAACTTTGCCAAGTTAGCAGCCAGGCTGAGAGCAGTGGGATGGTAGAGTCCAGCCAAAGTGAAGAGACTGAAACCCGCTTTTCAGTCAGTAGAAGGCTTCAAAGGTCTAAACAAAAAATTGCATCTGATGAAGATATAAGCATATTCATGCAATTCTTCACCCACTCTGTCCCCAATCAGCCTACAGCCACCGTGGAAGAATTCAGCAGAACAACAGGATACAGAGGCGGAAGAACAAGGACTGGTGAAACTCCAAGAATTTCTATGTTCCATCCTTGGTCTCTGTAGGAGATCTGAGCACACATCACACCAAAGCCTCCAGAAACAGTAAGTGCTTCACAGCAAGCAGGTATTCTCAGGTGTGTGTCAACACTCAGATCACAGCCAAGAAACTTCCAAGCTCATACCTGAAACCTTGTTGAGATTAGCCACCATGCAACAGATATCCAGATTTATGTATGCAGGAGATGCTTTCCAGTGTTACTGCATGCAGAGCTTGAGCTGGTAGCACACTGGACTGAGGTAACACACTGAACTGCCTTCCCCCTGAAGGAGCTCAGGAATACCTCTGGAGAGCTCCTGCTTCCATTCCCAAAGCAGAACAGCTTCATGCCCTGTCAGCCTTGAGGAGCTTCCTTCTCCATCCACATCTCTAGAAGGAAAAGGCAAAGCAAAAATGACTTTGTGTCAGCAGAGAT